GCTAACTTAAACACACTAATTAACCCACTGTCTCCTTATTGTTGTCTTTAACAAAACACCACCACCAAACCTGCCACAATTTATCATTCAAGAAAAAGCCTGCCAAAATTATTGGTTAGACTCAAATACAGTGGTTCAGTATGAAACTGTAGTACAATTCATCTTGAAAATTTAGTAAGCATGTTTATCTACTGAAGCCTCAACTTCAGACTCCCTAGTTATCACTGCAAAAATAAACTATTAAAGCAGCATAGTGGTGCTGATCGGTCACAAAACTTCTCACACTCAGACCAAGGTTACCCACAGGCATAATGTTAACAGCCCAAAGTACAAACTTAAATGGCTGCAAATGTTCCCTGCATCAGAACTTCAAAATGGCCAGGGTGGAAAAATACTGTTGTATAAAATTTAGGGGAGCAAAAAAACAACAACCCCAAACCTGCAAAGCTTCAGTGCAGAAGGAAGTTTAAGCTTCTATAACATTTGACAGCTACTTTTATCCATTACCACGGAACATGTGAAAGCACAGGTTACTTCTGAAACACAGAAGGAAAGGAACCCAAAGATGTCATTATCCCTATAAAACAGAAACAGTCAAGACGTGCAGATTAGCTGACAATAGAACACAACAGTACAGTCAAGGAACCGAGATATTATCAAAGTTATTTCAACTGATCTAATCTCATTGCCTGCTTGAGTTCAAAGAAATCCATCTACCCTGTGTTTGCATATTGCCTATCAAAGGAACTGTGACTTTAAAAACAGAGTGACTGTGGGGAAAGCTCTGCCTTTTTTGTCTGCTAATATTACCATACTTTTCCGTGCATAAGACTAGGGGTTTTTTTACTTTAAAATAGTGTTAAAGGGGGGTAGTCTTATACACAGGGGCAATCTCCCCCCATTTTCTTAATTTCGAGTCCCCCAAAATAGAGGGTGTCTTATATACGGGGGGGGGGTGTTATACACGGAAAAATATGGTATTTCACTTTTGTTTTGATACAGCTGTGAGGGGGCTGAAAGTGCTCTTGAAGAAGATTCTAACCACACTAGCACAATGTGTCTAAAAGTATGCTTTCTTTTAAAGATAAGACCTTGCCCTGCTACACCATCCAAGACCAGCATATGTACAATAAACACAATAGTAGAACTATTTATGAACCCTCCTGAATATTGCACGTTGTTTAAACCTGATTGGTTACTAGAACTGATTTGTCATTGTAAAACAAGTTACAAAAGGTTCATCAGAATCTATTGGTACGTTCTATTTTGGGTAGCATAAATGGAAAGACATTCTGAATGCAATACTTTTATCTCTATTTCAGGCTCTCAAACTGGCTGTTTATGGAGAACACTTCTTGTGATGCAAATGACAAACTCTACAGTCTTTAAAGTTTAAGGTCTAAACTGAGAAGGGGACTTCATAACAATAAAAATTATGTGGCAAAGAGGTTTGCCTGACTTGTAAAATAAAAGATCTCACCCTACTCCTTCAGTGAAGTTATTCAGGGGAATTCTAAGTCAGCATTTCAGCTTAAGGTTTTCACTGGTAATAACAAGGCATTCAATTCACACTACAATAGTTAAAACTGTTAAACAAAAGACATTTGAAGGACTTTTGCTTTTATGTAATAGATACCTGGACCAAGGCAGAAATAACATTTAGTACACAGAAAATTGATTAACTTGTAACAAAGTTAGCTGATGTCAGCCAACTTGCTTGTGTTAAATACTATACTCCAAAACTAGACAGACAGACAGACAGACAGACACACACACACACACACACACACACATATATATATATATATATATATAAAAGCTAATAGGGATAGCAGCTTCAGCTAAAAACATCAGAGTCAAGCAATACTATGAACCTCAAAGTAGGTTTCACTAACCTTCAGAAAAATGTGTATACAGGCATACCTCATTTTATTGTGCTCATATATTGCTCTGTGCTAGGATGTGGGTGAAGCTGCAGGCAGCCTGGCCACTCTCAGGGGAAGAAAGCACACACACGCACGCACACACACACACACACACACGCATGCACGCACACACCCCGCTGCCCCTCTTCTGGCCACTAGGCTTTATTTCACCTGGGTCAAAGACCCAGTTTGTCACACACACCCCACATGCATTTGCATACACACACACACAGAGGCTGGAAGCTTAAATGGTGCCCCCTCCAGAGGCTTCACTCAGGGCAAAAAAACTGGCTAGCTCCTCCCCGCCCCCCAGCTATGCCACAGGAACAGAGCTGGCTAGGGCTGGAACCAAGTTTTCCCTTCCCACCCCTGCAGCCAGGAGGGCCTGGCTTAACAGATTACAGTATAGCCTAAAATACCTTTTATACACAGGGTGAAACACAAAATAATAGTGATCCACTTTATTGCAATGTTTGCTTTATTGTGGTGGTCTGGAACTGAACCTGCAATATCTCTGAGATATGCCTGTACATGCAAACATGTTCAAAGCGTAAAAGCACGCAGGGCTAATGTACTAGTGCCAGCACACACACACACCCCACAATCCAGACAAGGAGATCCATGAGCATATCACTTCCTGTGGCAGGAACTGCAGGTATTTAATTTAATTTTTCCTGAATTCTTACGTGAACCCTTTTTAGGAGTAAAACACAGCATATGAATTATTTTAGACTAGAGCTAGAACAGGACATTTTCATGTTGTCATTGAAGCGCTAACACCACACTATTTGCAGATGTTGCAACCGAGGCTAATACCTCTGAATGTCTACCTGCATCCTGTTGTGGGGGGATTAGCAAAGAAAAATGGCAGACAGGAAAAGAAGTAACCACCCTCTTCCCACACAGTTTCACCGTTCAACCTTAAAGCTAATTTTCTTTACAAAGAACCCAGGACAGTTAAGTGTTAATGCATAACATGTAGTTCCCAATAAGAGAATCTCCACCAAACAAAATCTGTACTTCTTCTAAATAACTAGATGTTGCATACTTTTCATTCTACTCTTAAGGCAATGTTCAAAAAGTACAGTGGTACCTCGGGTTACATACACTTCAGGTTACAGACTCGCTAACCCAGAAATAGTACCTTGGGTTAAGAACTTTGCTTCAGGATGAGAACAAAAATCGTGCAGCGGGGGCACAGCGGCAGCAGGAGGCCCCATTAGCTAAAGTGGTGCTTCAGGTTAAGAACAGTTTCAGGTTAAGAACAGACCTCTGGAACGAATTAAGTTCTTAACCCAAGGTACCACTGTATTCCTATATGCTAGCACTTAAAACATTGGGCCAACTATGTATGTTCTCTCTATTAAAATGAATATTCCCTAACAAACATATTCTATAACAAACTCTGAGGTGCTATTATTATGCACCAGAGGAAGAGGCAAAACATTAGATGATTTCCTCTTCTCTTAATAAGAGATTTAAACACATATGTCAAAGACAGGACAAAATTCCATGACCTTTTAAATGTGTTTGTTTTTGTTATTATGCATTTTGTGTGATCCTTGGATGAAGGGTGGTATACAATCAATCAATCAGTCAATCGATTGATTGATTGATTTCCGCCACTAGATAACCAACAGTTCAATTTTATACATATCACCTCAGCATGAGTTCAATGGGGCCTATTTCCAGGGTAGTGGGTATAAAACTGAAGCCTAAATAAGTTTAGAAAATACTCAGTTTAGACCTCAATCATATACCCACCTCTTTGAAGTAAGCCCCACTGTACTGTTTATAACCACAGACCTTTGTAGCTGTTGTACAATATTCTATTGCAGTATATAGTTTTACAAATAAAGAAATAAAACTCGATTACTTCTGAGTAAACTTACATGGGATTATGCTATTTGAGAATACTCACAAATCAGACAATAAAACAAGTACATTATATCTTATTCTGGGCAGATGCTTTAAAGTTCAGAGATTTGTTATCATTTGCAGGGAAATCTCAGCAGACTGCATCGGGGCAACAACAGATTGGCAAATGAATTCTGAAAACATTTGAAGAGAAGAGAGCCAAAAATGGCAACAAGATCTATTTTTCCACACTCCACCGCCTACCTACATTTATTATGGATAAATTTGTTACTGTTATAATCACAATGGGATACATCAATGTGAACTGCACAGGCAACATGGAGTTTTTTTAAGAAACCACTGCAAATCTAGGACAGTTCTATCTAAAAGCTTTCAGTGGTTGATAAGGGAAGAACATTATATAAATTAGTCCATATGGTGTTAGGGAAGGAATCCAATATTTCACAAAACATTTAAGAGACTGGGCACAATCCAGTCAAATGTAAACAACTAATTCTCCCTCTAAAACCTTGACTGAATCACCAGTGGCATAGCGTGGGGGGTGCAGGGGGGGCCGGCCGCAACGGGTGCAACATCTGGGGGGGGCGCTCACACTCGCAGCTCTCTGCCTCTACCTGGCTCCACGGGTTAGGGGGCGCAAATTACTTGCCTTGCCCTGGGTGCTGACAACCCACGCTACGCCACTGTGAATCACACCCTGTGTAAGTTTTATGACTACTCTGACATGAAGGGTAAAAAAAAGTCTTTAAAAGATGTCACTACAGCTCTTGCAAAATAAAAATGCAAGTGTATTGTCAATAGCCAGCTGTTAGCTCCCCCTCTAGATTCTCAGCAGTATTATTTAGCCCAGGAACATTTAATAGAAGACAACCATAAAAGCAGAAGCTACCCTAGCTTTCCTTGAAGAAACGTGTCAACAAAAGCAGGACAATATAAATGTACAGTGAAGCACCTCAAAGGCATCGCTATGTAGTCTGGAGTGCATTTCTACCCAGAATTACAAATGACAAAACTTGACCGACAGAGAGCAAAGAGCGTATTCCGCAGAGGCAAGCGCCTCTTCGGCATATTTGCGTCTGATCTCGTGTGCTTTGCAAACTCCCCAATTCCACGGACTCCTCCACCAACCCCAGCACCCCATTTCTGCAGGGGAAGGGAGAAGCGCGAGGAGAAGGGGGTGTTTCGAGGCCGCCTCACCTGAGAGAGCTGCCTGGGGTTGGGGCAGCCGAAGAGCGCGGAGCTGGAGCTGAAGCTGATGGCTCCTCTGCGGCTGAGGACATGCTGCGGGACCGGCCTGTCCAGAGGCAGCACCGGCAGCTGGTAACATACTTCCATTGAAACGGAGGCGCCGCCGCCGCCGCTTCGTCTTCTGGAGCGCCCACAAAAGCCAGGCCAGGCTCCCGGAGCGAAGCGAGGCCAGGCCCGCCGCCCTCACCTGCCCCACGCGCCGGGAACGGGTCGGTCAAAGGAGAAGCGGCGCTGAGGGGGCTTTCCCCGCACCCCGGCCCACCCCGCTCCGCGCCCGCCGACGCAGCCCTAGGGAAGGCTGAGGGGGAAGCAAGTGCCGAGGAGGGAGGAGGAGGAGGAGGAGAAGAAGCAGCAGCCGCGGCAAGTCCCGTCTCGAGCCCCCCGGTCAGCTCCGCAGCCGGGACGGCCGCGTGCCGCCGCTCATGGGTGCCGGCGAGCGGGCCCGGGTGGCTGCGGCGACGGCGGCGGGCTGATTTGGGTGAGACACAACTCGGCTGCGGCAGCGCCGCTATTGTCCGGCACGAGGCGCGGCCCCGCGCGAGGGGAGGGGCCAGGTAGTGGCGGTTGGTGATGCCGCAGCTGTGGTGGAGGCGACGGAAGCGTCAGCGGGCGGGGGGGGGGAGAGCAGCTGCGCGTGCAGGAGCGAGAGGCCGCCTTTGCCTCTCCCGCGCCCGCAGTCAGGCGCAAGCCCCAAGCGAAGGCGAGCGCACGCGCCCAGGGAAGCACCAGCCAGGGCGGCCGGGCGGGCAGGCTGTGTGTCGGCGCGCCTATGCGCAGCGGGGACGCCGACGGAGCTTGTGCGTCCTGACGTCATTCCTCCTGCCTAGCTTACCCCCCCCCCGTTGCTTTTGCTATGGGAGAGTAAAGGGTAAAGGGAGGGCGGGTGCTTGCTTCACAATCGTTTCTGTTTCCCTGCTCAGTATATAGGATCTTCTTTTTCTTTCCCTAGAGGCCCCTTATATCTCTTCAGCTTCGGTCTTCTTCGTTCTCCAGCACCTCGTGAGGAGAATGCAGACTTGATGGCCGCAACATCCAACCGACTTTTCCTTCCCCCTCCTCGCCCCTGTTTTAATTATCTTACCTACAGAATCTCACATAAATTGAGTTACATTTTGAAGGGATTCGTGTGGCACTCGGCTCTTTTGTTTGCTGCTGCCGCTAGTGCAGCAGCAGCGGCGGCACTCAAAACCACACTTCTCAGGCTCAGCCCGCCCTAGGCAACCAACCTCTGCCTCGCTTTGCAATGTGGTTCCAGCTCCACTTGCCTTCTTCCCTCTCCCCTCAACCCATCCTGCAACTGCCTTGTCAATTTCTAGCCTGTTCTCTGCGAGATGGCAGGAGATGAAGGACTCAAGGTGACATGATAAGAGTCATTGTTGACAATTGCTCACTTTCATTGCACTCTCGCCTTTGTTTGCATGTTTTTGTAGTGCTTCAATTACCTACAAAACCTGTTCGCCCAAAAAGGATTAGCATGAGAAAAGAATTGTGTTGTAAGCTATGGAAAACAATGGCTCTTATCATACTGCTTCAGCTCTCAAAAATGATAGGTTGCAGGGTATGTGTGAAGAAAGCACATGAAACCACAGCCTTGCTGAAGCTAAGCAGGGCTGGGTCTAGTCTGGGACTGTCTTGAGAACCACATGAATGCCGCCATGGGTTCCATGAAAGAAGAAAATCTGGATATAATTATAAGTACTGTAAATAATTAGTCTTGTGTACAGCTTTGTATAGTACAATGTAAGTCTTCTGGGAAGAAACTCTAGCACTCCTGGCATGGTGTTGGCCCTTAATCACTGGTACACTTAAGACATCCCTAATGCCTAAGAACTCACTCATTTCCCCCAGTTCTAGTTACAGGTAGGTAGCCGTGTTGGTCTGCCGTAGACAAAACAAAATTTAAAAAATCCTTCCAGTAGCACCTTAGAGACCAACTAAGTTTGTTATTGGTATGAGCTTTCGTGTGCATGCACACTTCTTCAGATACCCAAGTTACCTTCTTAGACTCCAGCAGTGTATACATCACATATATGACACTTCCAAGAGAGGGTTTCACTAAAGAGTACACTAGGTATCTAAACAAGTAAGTTTATTCTAGAGCTTGCTGATTTGAGCACCATTTATACCTAGGACTATGTTTGCCCCAAATCATAATATTGACCTTGAGAGTATTTTATAGATAGACTTGATTACAGTATGTGCTGAATACCTCAAATAGATTTTGAGGCCCAATTGGGAAAGAGAGGAGCACTAAATCATCGGCATACGTCAAGACTGAGATCCTTCTGTTCCTAATTATTTTTCATTGCCTAATTATGGCAGCAAGTCATTAATATAAAAGTTTAAAAGAGTGGGAGCCAGAACACAACTTGTTGGAGATATGCAATTTTGCCATCGCTTGAAAACTATCAAAAAAGCAACATTCTTCCTAAAGGGGAATTGTGATTCATATAAGAAGGTATTCCCATCCAGTAGTTGAGGAACCATAATTATTCTCCAAATGATGTAGTGTAGTCATGGTTTTTTATTTATATAGAGGAATTACTGAATCCAAGGGCCAATCACATGGGCCTTTCACACTGAATTGGAAGCTTCCCTGCTGGCAATTCTGGATGACAATACTGCAGAAAAGACCCTCAAAAACAACCCTGACCACATAGATTGCATCATGCTGAAATAGCTCCCATATTATTATACGTGTGTTTAAAGGGCAACTGAACTGATGTAATACCATCCCTCCAAACAAACCCCACGTGCCAGACTATAACATTATATATGTAAAGGGAGGGGGAGAATTCCCAGAAGAAACATAAACAATTGAAAGCACCAAAAGCACCAAACCCATTGAACTCTAGCCACTTCCTGCTCCTGCTGCCAAAGCAAATATGCAGGTGGAGTATAATGCAAGATCCAAGATTGCACAATGGAAGGTGTGGAAGTATGAGAAGGAGAGAGAAAACAGAGTTTCTGATCATTTTTCTTTGAAATTTGAGAGTACCGTGATAAAGGAAAATATTTCCTCAGCTTACTGCGCCTCTTTCTCCACCCTCTTTTGTTTCCTCTTCTCAGCTTGTCTCTGCTTGTCACCTTACACTTGCTATGACATATAGAACTCTAGCCCTGTAGCAAAAATTGATGGGTAAACTGATAGGCCACAGTATTGATACTATCAGGTAATAATTGTGATTTATGATATGAATTCTCCAGGCTGGGGTGCACCTGTTACCAGAGCCTCATAGGGTTAGGAAGGTATCAAGGAGATGATTACCAGAGAATGAATATTTTTCACCATTTTTCACATTTGTGTAGAGCAAAGTACAGTAATATTATCTGGTAAGGGATTAAAAGCAAAGGAAATGGAGGAATAAAAATAAAGCCATCTATGTCTACCTGGTCAACAGTATGGTTAATGATTATGCAAATTTGACATTTGACCCTTTGCTATAGCTCTCTGTCTGATATCTCTACATCATCTCAAAATCATGGCCATATGGGTGATACTGAAAGCCATGGGATTTGTTGGGTTCAGCAAAGAGTAGAAAGAGAAAGCAGGTGTTTTTCTGCTTGGGCCCGAGACACTAAATGGGAATGCAAATATAGGCAAACACACAGTAAACTATGGTTTGTTGAGGATGCTGAGAGCCCACAGGTAAACCTACAATACATAAAGTGTAAACCAGTTTGTGGCAACTTACATTCTTCTATCCATAACTTTACACGCAGCTGTACAGACAGCCTGTGTGAGCACATTGCCAACGTCTACACTACATTATGATACAAGCATAGAAAAATCAGAAGCTGAATACATTTCAAAGTTCTTATTTTCAAACAATAATATTTGTTTTAATTAACTACAATGCTTGTAGTGTTTATTGGATGAGTTTAATTTGCACATGAGTGCAGAACCCATGCAACTCATATACAACTGTGGGGAGGAAATGACATCTCACTGTGTGCAAGTCTAATATTTAAAATAACATGCTAATTGTGAGTGGCTATTACAATTTTGGTTCAAAACATTTTAGAATGTGGTTCACATTTCACAATGGAGGTAGCATCATTTATATGAAATGAAATCTTGTTCTTTACTAAAATTAATTAGCAACCTTTTAAAAGTGCAATTAGAACTCTTATTTTCAGCCAATTAATTTTACAGAAACTGCAAGCAGAGTGCAAATAAGAGGTGTTTCCCACGATACAGGAATTTACTATTTGACTAATAGTGCAAAACCATACTCAGAGGTTTGCCAAGTGAGGAGCATTTGTATCATGGTATTGAGCTCAGAGTCAAAAGAGAATAAGCAAGACAAGTCTGAGGTGACTGTACCACCAACTGGAGAATCAGGTCAGGCTCTTGGCACTGGTATTTCTGAGTCAACAGAGCCCGAAGACTGATGGTTTGGAGCCCACAGAACCTGAGGCTAACAGTCTGGAACCTGCAGAGCCTAATCCAGGACCCTTGCACATGCCACCCCCAAGTTTGACTTAGAGGAATCAAAGACTTCCCATTCTACCACACCTGCCTAGCAGCACAGAAAACGTGTCAGGCAAGAGGCCGCAGAAAGGCTCAGACAAGCTTGCCTGTGGGCCAGAAGGTTATAATAATATAGATAATAAATAATTTTTTATACCCTGCCCATCTGGCTGGGTTTCCCCAGCCACTCTGGACGGCTCCCAACAAAATATGGGTGTTATAGATTGGTGTTATAAGAGCCACAGCCTTCAAACCAAGGAAGAGGAGCTTGGGAAAGGTAGACTGGGTGAAGTGACTCAAGGCCTCAGGTTCATTTCCAGGCTTACCTCTAGCCTTTGTTGGAGCAAGTTGCCCAGTCGGAACTTTCTGGGCTGTCTTGTCCATTGGAATACCTGGTACAAATGAGCCATAGCAATTAGGATGACAGGAAGGCTCCCAATGCCATTGGAAGTGCAAATCTTCCACCTCTACCAACCACACACCTGTGGAAATGCCTCCACATGCTGCAGGATGGCTGTGCTGGCTAAGTTGACCAGTTGGATCACTAAAATAGGATAGAGTCATGGGTGGGTTATGGGCAACACACTGGAGGACTGCAGACCATCCCAGACCCTAAACCCCTTCATTTCATTGGTTTCCCAGAAAACTCACCAAGAATCTACACCAAGTTAGAAAAAATATAATAGGACTCAATTCTCACCACCTACTGCTTGGATGCCATGTGCACCCTAGAGAGGTAACTCTGCCTCCCTTTACCAGCACAACTCTGAATGTGAACTCAGCTACATTGGCAAAGAAAAAGCGCTTTATATGTGTTGCATATGCATTG